AGGTAAACATCCTTTTTAGTCTAATTATCAAGAGCATTACCTTTCCCCTGATGGTTAAATGTGACAATATTGGTGGTACACGTTTGTATTCCAAGTACTGGTGTGGCTGAGGTAGGGGGATTGCAAGTTCTAGTCCAGCCTGGGTGATCTGGCAAGGCCTGTCTCAAAAATAAAAAGCTGAACATGATAGCATACAGCTGTAGTTTCACCTACTAGGGAGTCTGAGGTAGCAGGATCACAATTTTGAAATGGGCCTGGAAAACTTAGCAAGGACCTGTCTCAAAAAATAAATACATAAATATAAAAATAAAAAGGGCTGGGGACAGAGCTCAGTGTTCAATTCTCAGTATTAGATAGATAGTCAGTTAATTAACAAGGGCTGGGGAGACTGGAAGAGGTACAGTACTTGCCTGGGATATGTGAAGCCCTGGGTTCAATCCCTAATAATGGAAAAAAAAAATTGGGAATGAAAAAATGGGAAAATTTGGGGATACACTTCTTGGATTCTGAAGTGAACCTGCCTTGTAACTTTATTTATTTACTTATTTGGTACCAAGAATTGAACTCAGGACCCTGTGCTTGCCATGCAGGCACTTGTGCCTCTAAGCTGTATCCCTGGCCCTCCTACCTTGTAACTTTAATCGTTAGTTAACCAAACTATGCCTCAGTTTCCTCAAACATATGAAGAATAGCCTCAGTCAGCATTCGGGGCACTTTAGACATGAAAGTAAAGTCGAAGCCCAGGGATACGTGCACGTTCATGAACATGAAATGCCTAGTTTAAGATCCGCACTTGACAAATGTTAGCTGACCTACTTCTGAGGAAATTTATAGAGTATTTTGCAATTTTCAAGTGATCAGCATATGTAAATACTTTATACTAATTAGATGTGTTTTCTGTGAGTTTTTCATATTTTAGCAACTGTTATCTATCTCTTTGCCTTTCTTCACTAGGTAGGCATTTTTCTGCAGGCTGGCAAGCTTAGCCCTTTCTGGATTTGCCTTCATGGAGGACGCAAAATCTACCTCAAGGAGAGACAAAAGGTTCTCCTTGGAAGACCAGTCTCCAAGCGCTCTTCCCTGTGTCTGGAGTAGATGCCCTGGTCCTTGATTCTCTTGGGTCCATGCATTCTCTTGACATAGAAGACTCCTGTGGGAAGGGCACTGGTCTTCCCCTCGTTGGTACCAGTAACCCGGATTCTAGTGCAATTCAGAAACCCTTTTAGGTACAAATGTATTGATTAGTTTCCGCGCCCTGTAAGTGTTCTCATTTGGTGGCTCAGCCTGTGCCTGGACAAGACATCAGATTACCCAGGTTGCTTACCAGTCCACCTTTTTGTTTTTGTTTTCTCTTTGGCTTTATGGAGATGACTCCAGAAAAAGAACCTAGAAATACCTGGAGTGGTGATGCTTTGGTCACTTATTAACAATACTGAGACTCAAGAAGACCTACAATGTCAAAATAAGGAACCAGGAAGATAAGAATTTTGCCAAAGGGAACTGGATCAAAAGATGGAGAGAAGGAGGGGGGCGTTAAGGAGAAAGGAATGGAAAGAGATAAAAAAAAAAAATTAAAATGTGTTTAGTCCGTGCACCAGCTCCCCAAAGTGAATAAAATCATCATGCACTACAAACACCCATTAATAAAATAACCGCTAAAAAAAGGCTCAAGTTATTCACCATTGTATAATCTCAAAAAACAAACTGAGAAAATCAAGCCACACCGTGGCGGACAAAAAGCCGAGAATATCATAAGGGCAGCTAGAGACAGACTACTTTCAGAAGTGTAAGGGTGGCGTCAGCTGCTGGTTTTCAATCAAAACTCTGGTGATCAGACAAGGAAACTGGATGAAAAAATTGCTCTGAGTGGGATTCAATACCTAGAGAGAATCCCCTTTAAACAAGCGATGAAATGAAGATATTTTCAAGTGAACAGCAAAGGAGACAGCTTGTCACCATGAGACCCACGTATGTAAGCATGCAATGGCATTATTCTTCGACAAGTGTCTGAACGATCAAACAGAACTGACAGTGGGAATTCTTCTTTGTTTGTGTTACGAAGTCAAGTGTTTTATTCCAAGATGAATCTGTGAACCAAGACAGGGCCCTTAAGGAGGTAATTAAGGTTGAATGAGGTCCCTAGGATGGTCCAACATCTATGCATTCTTAATTTATTAAGACACTGCATACATGCCGATTCTTTCCCAAAGTGGATTTTGTTAAGTAAGTTTGCAGAATATACAAATTCTCCATCTCTTTGGCAAGGTATTTAAATAAGAAGTGAAAATATATAATTGTCCAGGTCCCAGGGACTTATGCTTGATAGAAGATGTTAGAGGACACTGGGATTCTCTGGAGATTGCATTCTTTTATATAAGCTTTGAACCCTAGAAAAGTATTTTATTAATCTTATGGTAAATATTTGGGCACATTTTCATGAAAAAGTACTCAATTTATAAAGAAGTTGTGAAAATTCATGTAGAATTTGGGAGTCACGAACATCCGTAGTCCAGAAAGAAAATGCTTTAATATCAAAGTGAGAGTTTTATGGTTTCGAGACAATGTTGTGTCATATTATTGGGTGACATAAAAAAGAGGAAATGATTTAAATCTCTGAAAACAACTTGAGTCAAAGGATAAAGAGACTATCCAGTTAATATGAAGGACAACATATCCAGCCAGGCAGTACAATGCTATCCCTTGGAATCTCTAGATTTTCATTTGTATTTTGTCAGTGAAGTCAGGCTGCTGACAAAGTCAGGGGGCTGAAGAGTCAGGGAAGCCAGTTGCCTCAGTCTGTTGCTGCTGGTGGAATAAGATAATTTCCAGACTAGATGGTTTAAATATAACACATTTCTTACAGTTCTGGAGGGTGGGCAGCCCAAGATCTAGGCACAAATAGGTTCTGTGTCTGATACAGCCTGAGGTCTGACCTAAAATGGCATGATGAATGCTGGGACCTTTCGTGACGTAAAAGAAAGCAGGCAAAAAGAGGGCCTTGGAAAGGCCCACTGGCTCATTTATCTGGCGGCACTAACACATTCAGGAGAACGGACTCCTCAACATGGAATCACTACCCAGAGGCCACACCTGGTAAGGCCACAATGCAGGTCAAGTTACACCTTGCAGTTTGGAAGGGACACATTTGAACCACAGCACCTTGGCCTTGATGCTTTTGGGCCTGTGGAGGAGCAGCACACTGGGCTAGAGAACATGGAGTGGAACGAAGTTGCTCAGCTCCTGGTGGCCGGGAAGTAAAAGGAGAGGAGGAAGCATCTCATAGCCCCTCCAAGGCGACGCCCCTAATACCTAACATCCTCCCTCCACTCTCCCTCCAATAGTGCCAGGAGCTGCGGACCAACCCTTCAACTCTGGGGATACCCCAGACCCAAACTGAAACAGTTGAAGATAACAATATGTAATGCAACAATTGTCAATTTCCTATCACCTTGTCTGAAATTCTGTAATGCTTTCTTTTAATTTTAAAGAGAATTTTTAAAAAAAGAACTAGCAAAGTGCCAACCACATAGACAAAAACAGAAGAGCAAAAACAATAAGAATGATACACGGTTTCAGAACAAAATGAAAGGGATTAACAGTGGTTGTTCTATTACATATTTTTATCTTTGTTGAAGTTGGTCAGATTACCAGATGATTGCAAGATGCATCAAACCATTAAAGAGAATAAAAAACACAAACAAAAAATTATGAATGAAAAAGTTTCACCAAACAAGATGATAGGAATTCAGCCATAGTTATGTTACATATTACTGTCTTCAAATTAGTTGCTCAGATTACCAGATGTAGGCATAAAAAATTGGTCCAAAAAATAAAAAAAAGTAAAGCATTAACTGTTTCCTTCAATAAACCATTAGACATCAGCAGTACAGTTATCTACTGTTTTCATGTAGTTTTATGTTTGTCTGTGTTTGTTAGTATGTCTTGGTTCTTTTACCTTTAGAATAAAATTTTAAAAATTTCAAAAAAATGGCCTTTACCCACAGGACATATTTTCCAAGAAGCACCAGTACAAGCCTGAAACTGGATAGTACTGAACCCTACACAGAACCTTATACATACCACATTTTTCTCCCTACATACCCACCTACGATAAAGCATAACTTATAAATCAGACCGAGCAAGAGCTGCCCAACAGAATAAAATAGAACAAATCTAACGATGTACTGTAAGAGTAATTTAGAGCTAATGAATTTTTTTAATTTCTGGGATTGTCTATCTGATATATTCGGGGTGCGGCTGACTGGGGGAAGAATGTGAAAAGCAAATGGCAGGTACTAACTACACTTTGAAGCCCTTGCTCCACAACACTCTGCTTTCTCTTTACAGACATCACAACTCTAGATCGCTGGGGACACTGTCAGGCCAGAGAGCCTTCACAGAAGTCCCTAGGAGTTGCCATGGGTTCCCGTGGAGGAGCTGAGTGCCGTGCAAACCACAGGCTTTTCCACTATGAAAGTGGTAATGTGCACATTTGCTGCTTAAGGTTTGGAAGCCGGACTGAAAGCAAGCCAGCTCTGACATCAAAGTGCCATCTGCACTCGAAGAAGAAAGAGCTATGGTCCCGAGCTAGCCCTGCTCCCTAGTGAGTTGTTATTTCCTGAGAAACAGGTCTCAAGCACATCTCTGTCTGTTACATAAAGCACCAAACTCCAACGGAGGGCTGACCCAGTGGACGGAACCTCTAGTACATAGTATCGCTTCTTCTGAGTGCTGAGCATGCTGCGCTAACGTGGGGGTGAAGGAGAGGCACCACGTCTTCCCTCAGGCGCTGTCATCATGGACCCCAGCCAAACAAGAGGCTGCTGCACTCAGAGCGCTTGTGTGGCCTCCAAGGGCACTAGGGTTCACTTACTATGCACCAATGTACAGCGTGAGTACCTCTGCGGTAGGAAAAGCAAAAGTCAACTGGCCACAGCGATGTTTTGCATTTGTCAGAGGATGTTTTTAAAAGGTGAAATCACGACCTCCATACTAAACAGTTTATGAATGTGTGCAAAGGACTTTATTCAACGAAATTAACATGTGAGGGAACCACCAGGGTGTTACAGCTGGTTTGGAGGGGAATTCAAGGAATGGAGAAAAAGAAGCATTCCACTTAGGGAATGCTCTCGTGGACTTCACAGATTTAGGCAGAACTGGCCGACACTTAGGTGAACCCAGAGTCACGCCACCACACGAACACCTGTATTATTACCTTCACGGAGCTGAAAAGTAACAATAAATGTCAGACCCCCTGGAAGGGCGTAACAAGGCATTTGAAGTACACTCCTTTTTCACCATTGAAGACTGAAGTAACTTCTGATAAATGATAACTCAATTTCCAAGGCACAGTAAATCTACACAAGGAGCAGATCCCAAGTATGTGATGGCTGATTATGACCAAAATGTACTGTGGATCTCTGTTCAAGTAGCAATTTGAAAAAAACCTATTTTTTAAAAAAAGGTAAAAAAAAAAATGAGCATTCTTAAAAGAGAGAGAACATTTGCTGAGGTAGAAAATGTTCAATGTGAATAAGGATATAAATACCAGACGCACGCTACACACACGTTCAGAGTACAGCAACTGATGATACACAGTTCAAGGTGTGTCACTGAGGAAAGGTCCAAAGAGATGTTTTGAGGGGACAGAAATTAACTTAAGACTAGCAAGTTTGGAGAATCATTTCCTAAGGTTCATCAGTATCAAGGCTTTCCCCACTTGGGTTACAAAGTCAAGAGATTACCTTCTCAATTGGGAAGCAGTGTATGATTATCTATCTATCTATCTATCCATCCATCCATTTAGACCACATATATCTATATAGCTATATCTATATAGATATCATGTATATGCACACATGCATTCACACATGAAAGCATACACATCTATGTATACAGAATTTACATTGCAGGTGCTGATGTTCAGAAAATCTAAGATGCAAAAGAAATGAACAAAAATATAATGCCAGTGTCTTGGAGAAGTACATCCCTTACATATAAATATGCATCCACACATATACATACTTATGTGTACAGCACACACACACACACATCATGCCGGGGCATACACACGTGTGCATGTACATCCCCTTCCACAAACAGCATCAGCTTCCAGTTCACAGACTGAGAGGGCAAAGCTAGTCTTGGCTTGGGCTTCTTCTATTGGTCTTCCCTCAGCTGTCAAGTGGATGCCCAAGGCTGGTGACGGAGTGGCCCAGGGCTGCGCTGGAAGGCATGAGGAGGGCTGCAGGGGGCCTGGGAGCCTCAGCTCTGGCCGCCCTCCCTCAGCAGTGTGGGCCGCGCCCGTGGCCTGGACCATCACTCGTAGGCAGGCAGACCGAACAACTCGGGCTGCAGGTCCTGCAGGGAGCTCAGCACCACGGTGGCCTTGATCGTCAAGTCGCGGCTCAGGTTTTCATCGGGAACCATGACGACCTGCATCCCCGCTGCCAGGGCCGCCTCCACCCCATTGGGAGCATCTTCAAAGACGAGGCACTGCAGGAAGAAAAAGAAAGTCGAGATGGCCTTGTGTGCAACCAGAGTCCTCTCCTGGAGGACGAGGGTTTGCCATGGTTTCGATCTCAGCTGTCCCCAGAAGGGTGTGCGTGCACGGCTCTATCCCCAGTGCTGTAGTGTTCAGAGGCGGAACCTTTGGAAGGTGTCTTAGCCACTGTCTGCTCACTAAGACACAATACCTGACCCTGGAAACTAAAGGAGGAAAGTTTTATTAGGCTCGAGGTCTACAGAGGTTTCAGTCCACAGCCAGGTGGTTACAAGGCATGGCAGAGGAGAAACGGCCCATGGCATGGTGGCTGGAGGGACAGAGAGATCAAGAAGAACGGAGGAAAGGAAGGAAGGAAGGAAGGCAGGATGGAAGGAAGGAAGCACAGACAGAAGAAAGGAAGGACAGATGGAAGGACATGAGGAAGGAAGAAGGACAGAAGGAAGGAAGCTTCAAGGAAGGAAGGAAGGACAGAGGGAAGGAAGGACGTAAGGAAGGAAGCTTCAAGGAAGGAAGGAAGGACAGAGGGAAGGAAGGACGTAAGGATGTAAGGAAGGAAGGGAGACAGATCTTTCCAGGCCACGCCCCCAAAGCCCCAGCTCCTCTGATAGGCCCAGCTATGAGCATGGTAGGCTTTAGGGGACATCTCAATAAAATCCATAGCAGATGATTAGTGGTTCATGAGAGCTCTGACCTTATCAGTGGAGTAATCTAAGGACGGATTCACAGTTGAACGAACTACAGCAAGGTGAAGGAAACAGGAAGTGGGACCTAGCTGAAGGAAGTGGGTGGGAGGGGCATGACTGTCTTGTCTCTGCCCCTTCTTCCACCTGTGCTTCCTGGCTGCCCTGCCGCCATGATGTTTTGACATAATACAAGCCTGAAAAGGCGATGGAGCCAGCTGACCATGGACTAACACTAAAATCCAGAGCAAACCTTTCCTCCTTCATGCCGACATGCTCAGATACACTATTTTGTCATGGTGATGGAAGCCTGGTTAACACGGAATGTTTATGGTGGTTGTCACCACGGCCTTTGGGGTTGTCCCACAGGCAGTGCAGGCTTCCTGGCTGACCGGCTGAGGAGAGCTCTGCATGCTGGTTCGGACCCAGCCTTCCCACTGTGGTTTCCCTGAAGGAGACATTCTGTCCCTGATGAAGCGTTAACTGCAACACAGCACAGCTGTGCGTCAAGTCGGTATTTTTGGTATGAAACTTTATTTTATTTGGATCATAACAATCTGTTCCATCAATAATTGAACATTCAGAGTGTGAGAGGAAATTGTAAAACAAAATGATCATGCTTCTTAAATGTGAAAACTCTTCAGAGCTTTTCCTACTTTATGTGCTGTAGTTAGAAAATTAAATGGTTTGGTGTTGGAGTGAAAAAGTCAGTCCTGTATGTTAAAACGAAATAAAATTCATGAGCACAAGGGTTTGGGGCCAGTGTACGCGCACTCTGGGTAGATCGTGGACATCGACCTTGACCCAGGAATTACTGACATGCAAATCTGTGTAACGCAGTCTTCACCTCTGGCTCTGCACGCACACAATGGTGCTGTGGGAACTGGCATATCCGCTCGCTGCCTGTCCTGCGGCTCATGGGTGTCCCATGCGCGGGGCACACGGGGTTCTCTCAAGAGCTATCTACTCAGTTGCAAGGAGTGGATCCAGGCCTGCTGTCCTCGCATCACTCCATCTCGGGAAAACTTACAGCCAGCAAGCGACCCCCAGGTCCCCGGAACGGGACCCACACACAGTGGGGACGGGTGACACCCAGCTGCGCTGCAGAGCTGCCCTTTCTGCTGTGACACGTGCTGCGCTCTCCTGGTTCCCTTCTCTGAGGGTGGCCTGTGCCTCAGGAGCTGTCCAGGTGGGGCTCTCAGCTCTCCACTCAACTCTCTTTTGAGCCTCTGCTCCTTCGCCTTCTAATACGCAAATCATTGCTGGGCACAGCGGCAACTCAGTGTGTCAGTGCTCTGCAACGCACTCAGCGAGCGTCAGTCTCTCTCTGCTCTCTCCCCCACACACACCTTGCCTAAATTTCCAACCATCTCCACCACAGCTGCAGCAAATACACTCTTTTCACTTTTCCCCTCCCTCCCTCCCTCTTTCCTCCTCTTCTTCCCCCTGTCCCTTCCCTCCATCTGTGCCAAGATACTTCGTTTGTGACTGGCCCCTGGGGTTGCCCAGAAGCTCACATGAGTGAAGCTGGGCTCCATCTTGCGGCTCCCCTCCTACAGCAGGTGAGCTGGTTTGCACCCCACCCTGGTCCGCTCAGACGAGGTGGGTGGGGGACAGGCCCCATGGGTGTTCAGTGCTAAATGTGAATGGTGCTAGGAAGGATAGGGCTGGCTGTATGCCTGCCTTCCTCTTTTCTTTTCTTTCTCTCTTTTTCTTCCTGTCTTTTTTTCTTTTTTTCTCCCTCCTTCCTTCATTTCTGGCAGTACTGGAGATTGAACCAATGCCTTTGCACTGAGCTGTATTGCTAGCCTGCTCCTATCTATCTACCTATCTGTCTACCTGTCTGTCTATTTCTCTCTCTCTCTCTCTCTCTCTCTCTCTCTCTCTATCTATCTATCTAGTCTTTTAAAATTTTGCAGGGTCTCCCCAAGTTGCTAAGTTGCCCAGGCTGCACTGAACTTGCAATCCTCCTGCCTCAGTCTCCCAGAGCGCTGGGATTACGGGTGTGGGTCAGTCACCCCACTCTGCTGCCCTTCTACCCGAGGACTTCTGAAGTCTGCAGTCCCTCCAGCCCCCGAGCTCTTGCCTTTTCTCTGAGCAGGAGGAAGTGACTCCGCTTAGACCACCAGCTGGGCTTTCTTAGTTAACAGACCCGCACACTACCGGCTCCTGACATTTCTGTCCCAGCCTGCTTGAAGTTACGCCTTGATTGGTTTCTAAATGTCCCCACTGTTCTCATCTGGGACCGCGGCAGGCACTTAAATGTCAAGTGGCCTTGTGACATACTTGTCACGTCCTCGGGGGCTGTGAAAGCTCCGCGCAGTCTACTTAGAGATTCAGCTCATGCGGGGAGCTGACGGGCTGCGGTGGGAAGGCGGCTTCCTGCCCACCTGCACGGTGCACAGTGGCGGGCACCGTGGAGCTCAGAGCTCGGAGCTCGGGCAGTGAGCTCGGAAGGCCAGGAAGGCCTGCGACCCTCCCGTGTGCACACTCACAGCACGCTCTGCACTCAGAAGGAAAAGCGCCTGGGTGCCAGCCCCTGGCCAGCTCCTTGCTGCGGTGGTGGAGGAGTCACAGGAAGCAGAAGGAGGGAGGGACGAGGGACCAGGGAGACGTCCCACGGGGAGTCCCCGCCTGCTTCCTTGCACAGCTCCACTCCTCCTGGGGCCTGTGTTTGGTGGGTCTCTGCTTTCACCTCGTAATTTGTCCCTCCCTCATTTTAAAAGAATCCAAACAGGGCACTGCTATGTGACCTACAGGTTGAATGTGCTTGATCTGAAATGCTCCAGATCAGAGGCTGGGCTCCGACAGGATGTCGTCACATGTGGAAAATTCTATGAGGTGGAACTGTTTCTGGCACAAAATTATTGAAAGTACTCTATGTAATAACCTTCAGGGTATGGGAATGTGGTGTGATGAAACAACAACAACAACAAAAAATCTGTGTTCAGACTTGGGCCCCATCCCCGAGATCACTCATTACGCATGTGCAAATATTTAAAAATTTTTACGAATCCTAATAGTTCAGGTGCCAAGCATTCCAGGTAAGGGGTATCTGACTTGTATCACACGGAATGGAGCAGACAGCTATGGGAGATAAAAGAAAGCAGTAACGTAGGGATGCTGAGAAGTCAAGGCAGGTGCATCTTCATCCTGACCACAGCGGGACATGAGGATGCTACGGCATTAATCACTTCCGGTCCCTGGGACGAAACACCTGACATCCTCGCTTATAGGAGAAGCGTTCAGTCTGCCTCAGTTTGCCACCATTTCAGCCCACAGTTGGCTGACGCGAAGGAAGCTGCCAGGCGTGACAGAGGAGAGCTGCTCACCCCATGGCTGTCAGCATGCAGAAACAAGAGCGGGGACAAGAACTCACCCTTCCAGGTCCCACCCCAGGGCTACCTCCAACCAGGCCTCTCCACGGTTCGTTCGGTCAGGAACTCATCCACGCACGGATCCACTTTTGACTACAGAGCCCAAGGTCAGACCACCATCCCAAAGCACCACTTGTTGTATTGTCCATACGCACAAGCCGGTAGGACCCTGCATGTTCAGACACTTCGCGGGAAACCTCCAGGACAAGCAGCTGGCCTGAGCTTCCCGTGTAAGCCACACACATAGCTCATTATTTGCAAGTGACCGAAGTTCTGATGCAAACACGGGCGTGGGTTACTGGGCTCCTACACCAAAGAGCAGCTGTTCTGACCACCCATCTACGTCCACGGTGCCCAGCTCTCCTCCTTCCTGTGCCTGTGAGCTCAGTGTGCCGTGCAGCTGTCCAAAGCCGCCTCTCACCAGGGGAGGGGCAGTCTAGCACATCCTGTCAGCTCCCAGAAATTCCTCCAGAGAAAGGAGGATACGTGAGAAAACACAAGCTGCAGTCTCAACTGGACAGCCGGCTGGGGGTGGCAGCAAAGCTCAGAAGCTCGGAAGAGCAGCCTGGGCAGTCCCCACGGAGGCAGAGGTGCTGGGTCTCTCAGCCTGGTAGGTTTCCACACCAGCTAAAGACGGTACCACACGCACGGCAGAAAACAGACCGTACGCATGAGTCCACGAGGAAGAGCCACCCAGGCCCGAGTCAGGCCACCATGCCGCACGGCCTCAGGGAGCCAGTCCACAGAACTGAATGGCAGTTGTCTGGGTTTTTTTCTCAGACTCATTAGAATTGTACAGCAGAATAACCACGGTGTTTTGAAGCAGCTATGGAAAATGTCTTCCTTAGAGTATGTGTCTTGATCCCAAAGGCCAAAGGTGGTTCTATCTAAGGCACCTCTTCTAGGACAAAAATAACCGCGGGTACCTAAAAT